GAATTATAGCACTGTCGCATGCTTCTTCAAAATGTCGTAAGGACAACGAATAACGCAACGAAGAGTCTAGAACTCAACTCTCAAACGAGATGTAAATGTTTACAATTAACAATTGTCAAATGGTAAAAATAAGTGCGAGTCATTTTCATGATTTAACTTCTATTTGATCTACGTTATAAATGCTCGTAAACATTTCGTTCAGGAGTTAATTTCCAAACTTCCTGTGAAATTTGGAGAGGACACATGTGACTTTTTTTGACTCAGACATTGGCTAATAGCCCATTCTATAAAATAAGAAAAATGTATTACGTTACTTTGTAAAATTATATTTAGCTCAGTTGAATTAGCTCTAAAAAAGGCAATCTGGGAAAATCAATATGTAGGAGGTTTCTTTGCGCATGCGGGAACCGGAACATGCTGCAATCGGCCATCAGAAGAACACATCAAAAGTATACAGTATAGGCAGTTTTCGTATAATTGCCCATATGCGTTTCACGGCGACTGCCCTGTGTTTAGCGCAATGCGGGAAGTATTCCTGCTCTCTTGTAGGCGCTAATATGCGTTTTGCACCGGCGGTGACACTATGTTTGGCGAGATTAGAAACGATGATAAGCATTAGATTTGAAAGAAACTGTAGAAACAGAGGAGAGATAGTAAGTTTGGAGGATGGCTGGGTAAAATAATGAAACGGCGCTTGCAGAGAGTAGGCACAAATATTCGAATGAAGAGTCCATCGAAAATTAAATGAAAACGAGAAGCCGAAGCTAATGCAAGTAAATGTTCGCTCGTGTAAAAGAGACTTACAACGAACGAAAATTTTGATGTATTGAGTTAGCGTTGATTTTGTAAATAAGGAACTGCACTGAAGAGTTTTGTTTTTGAGGTATAAGCGAAAAACCGGTCGCCGGCATATGTTGGTCCCCAGCCTGCCTGTTTTCAAGACGACGGGCTCAGCGGACAGCCGACTCCGATAAACTTTTGTTTATGTTGTTCTGGTGGCTTATTGCAACATGTTCCCGCGAAGAAATATTTTGCATGTTGATTTTCCCAAGAAATGCTGTTACACCTATTTATGGAGAGTGACAAAGCGTAAATGATGTATATTGTATGGTTGTGTGGTTTTGTATAGGTGTGCGTAGATCACGCTTGGTCTTCTCCTTCCTTCTCGTAAGACTCCATAAGGAAAGCTCCTCTTTAAGATAAAGATCTAACTAAGACCTCTAAAAGATAGCGGAACAGAAGGAGAGGAGAGAGGAAAGAGAAAAATGATTCCTTTTCATCTTCCTCATTCTTCCTTTTTACTCCTCTTCTTCTCTCTCTTCTTCATCAACTGTTTCTCCTTTTTCTTCCTTCTCTTTTTCGTCTTCTTAAAAGACCCGAATCGACCTGACTAAGAATGAATAGCCATTCGCAGTGAAATCGATTTGGTAAATCTCTCATAAATCATATGTATCATGAATCAAAATTATCATCAGGTCTGCGTGCAGATCACTCGGGGCCTGAAGCACCTCCATGATCTAAACATCGTACATCGGAACTTAAAACCCTCGAACATACTGTTCCTACTCATCCGGGAAGACGAAATGCTGATGAAAATAGCGGACTACGCCATTTCCAAGACGTTGGAGGATCGCGAATCCTTCACGAGCTCCTGCACGGTGGGGTCCATCTCGTGGGCGGCGCCCGAAATGCGCGGTCGCCCAGACCGCAAAACCCTCAAAACGGATATATACTCCTTGGGGCTCGTATTTTTCACCGTCCTTACCTTCGGGCGTCCCAGGGACAGGGGCGCAGTGACCAGGGACATGATCCTGGCGAATCTGAACGACGTCCCCAACGGGGCTCAGAGGCTTTTGTTGAGGGAAATGCTGGACCTGGAGCCCGAGAACCGGCCAACTACTGCTGAGGTCCTCGTCCAGCCCGCCTTTTGGCCACCAGAAAAGGTTCTGTCCTTCCTCCAGGAGGTCTTCAATCTCGCGCCGCCTGATTTTAATTTCGAGGTAATTCGTAGCATCGCATCGGTGGGATTGTCCTGCATTCGTCCGATAGTGAATCAGTCTGACGTCAGCCTGATCAGGGTGACTTTGTTTCGTGAAGCAGTTTATCGTAATTAAAGCAGGGCTGATTATTTAAATTGATCGACAAAGCGATGGACAGAAAAGACAGAGGGAAAATGAGGCGATCCTTTAAATGGAAGCGGGTGGTTTCAATTGGACAAAGGAGGTAAGTAATAGACTAATTAACGGCAATCGACAAGAGACCCTACAGCGGGCTGATTATTGAACTTGATAGACAAAGCAATAGACAAAGAGGGAAAAAAGGATATGGAGGAATCGGGGGGATCCTATTGGTGGAAGCGGGTGGTTGCAATGGACAAAGGACGTAGGTAGCAGACTAACTAACGGCAACCCACGAGAGACCCGATAGTTAGTCCATAAGTTTCTCCCTTAGTCTATAAGACCTACCCATTTCAACCCATAGGATCGCTCTATACTTCTTATGTCTTCTTTGTCTATAGCTTTGTCTATCAATTTCAATAATCGGCCCGGTATCAGTCCATCATTTTCCCCCTTAGTCTATCAGAACCATCCGTTTTAACCAATAAGATCGTTCTTAACTCACTATGTGTCTTCTTTGAACATCGCTATTTCCATTCTTTTCAATAATCAGCCCGCTGAGCTCCATTGAGTGCTCTCACATCATACTGACTAAGTCTGATACCACGATAACGTTAGTCTAACGTCAGACTTGTTCAAGCTGATGTCAAAATTACTCACCTTAACGTCATCTCAGTAAGAATAAAACATCACCATGATGGCCAATTGATCACCTGCTGTTAAAAATACAATATTAAAAAATAAATAAAGACATTTTTTTTTGGAATCATTTTATCTAACCAAATGCCAATGTTTAATTTCAATATCAACAACCGAAAAGCACGGTGTATGATGTCATTCATTACGGTGTTAAATGCCAAATCTCGACAATCGTTGATTAATTAAAAGCGATAGACACATTTACGCTGGTTCCTCTCATCACATCGTACTGGGAATAAGGGAAACTATACCACCATGTTTTCATTTGTTATGAGTTGTCTGTCTGTTTGACAAAAAATAGCATACCTACTCAAATAGAGAAGATTAATCAAAAGTAATCAATTATACAGCAAATCCTCCAAACTTGGTGATCCATGGTTCCCTCAGAGTCTCCAGTATTCATTACCGAGAGGTTCAGATGTCCTCGGCGCAAATGCCAAAGCCTTTTTGGCAATGTTCTTTCCAAATTTTGATGCAATGGTGACCGTTCTGAAGCTTCAGTGGAGCAACCAAATACTTCGGTATTGAGTGCTAAAGCCCTCCAGGTGATGGGGGGGGGGCATAACTTACGGAGCTGATACGCTGATTTATGTATGTTCCCTGAGGATCTGACCCGCTTGATTTGATTTGGAGGTGTACAACGAGCTGGTATGGCAGGGCGACTGGAAAGATCTACTGTGCCCGACATTGGTGAATCGAATGTCAAGTCGGACACCCAAACCGTACGACGGGTCTTCGATGAGGCACCTTTTACGGTTTGTGCGGAATTTGGTGACGCACCGGGCGGGCATCAGAGATCTCATTCCCCACGCTTGCAGCTCCAACGAACGACTCATTCAATACATCGACGAAAATATCCCTAACCTGATCTACTACGCCTGGCTCACCGCCAAAGGTACACTCTCGCTGGAGAACCTCGCCCACTTCTACGAGTACCCTTCCACGCCCGGTCCCTTCGAGTGCCCTCCACCGCGTCCTTCTTGAGGTGAAGAAACATCAATATTATTTTACTCCAAATTATTAAATCGAGCTTAATGAGTGTAACGCTTGAGACGAAAATCAGTCACTCAAAAAACAAGTATGGGAAGAGTATGACTTACCGGCCGAGTTAAGGATCATGGAGCCATAAAATATAGTTCGTGGGACCATTCTTATAGGTTCACGACTAATAAAGTATGGCTCAGAAAGCCATACTGTAGACGGTAAGTCACTTTGGTTAGAAATTATGGATCTCCGAGCCATTTTTTATGGGTCTCAGAGTCATACCTTTTTTTTAAGTGGTCTGCTAGTCTCATAAGCGGATCCAGCTAATTGGCAACATTGTCTTTTCTCCATTTGAACCTATTGGAATGTATCGATTCTTGAAGGGGCCAGATGCACCTACAAGAATCGATTATTTAACATAAGTTTAAATGGAGGAAATCCGATGTTGCCAAATTTCTAGATTCGCCTCTGGCGAGCCTAGTTATCAGAACGATAGCCCTGACTCAAGTCAGCAGATGCCCGATGGTGGTTCAAAATGTCCTTGGCTCTGATGAGAGTGGGTCTGCTTAAGTAGATTCCTCTCGGCCCTCATCCCTGAAAATTTGATAGCGTAGAACATAAAATAATTGCTAATCTACTACTAAATAAAGTTTGTAGAATCTAAAAAAAGGTGGGTCTGCTTAAGTAGATTCCTCTCGGCCTTCATCCCTGAAAATTTGATAGCGTAGAACATAAAATAATTGCTAATCTAACGATAAATAAAGGTTGTAGAATCTAAAAAAAAAGGTGGGTTTGCTTAAGTAGATTTCTCATGGCCTTCATCCCTTAAAAGATAGCGTAGAACATAAAATAATTGCTAAACTAATGCTAAATAAAGGTTGTAGAATCAAGACGAATAATGATGATTTAAATATGATGATGCCTTTTAGAGTGAGTGTGACAAATGATAGATTCTTTACAAGAAGAGAGAGGACGCGGAAATCTACCAAAGCACGCTACTTGATTAATGGAGGGGCTCAACGCACTTTTTAAATTATCTGTACCTGGAAAATACACTCAAAACTTTGAAAAGATTATCAAGTGTGAGTTCAATCGGTGTGGACGAATCTTCCGCCCGCGTAAAGTTAAGACCGAGTTTTCTCATCCGAATTTTGAAATTTTGTCATCCCGAAATATTGTATTTAATTTTCACCTTCACATTAAGTTTTGAAGTTGATCGAGCGCCAGTTGTCAACCAGACTTTAACAGATTTAACATGACTATATCATTAATATAAATATTAGATAGATTACCTCCCTTTTTTATGTACATTAATTATCATTCCATGTCATTTTTAATCTCATCAAATGTCTTGTCACCATAGCTACCAAATATTTCTTTTCAAGTTCCATTAGAGGTTATTCTCTGATCACAACATCTCTAAATTCTAAATTTTATCCAAATTCCAGTGAAAAAACGATAACTTAAAAAATGCCACCGCCGCAAGAAATGAATCATTACTCTGTCATCTTTTCTCAAGCACTCCCGTGCTCAAAACGTGAGTGATATCTCCCTTGTAGTTATTCAATTCGCAACTCTACGTTATATTCTTAGTCTTTTATTCTAGGCTACATCATTGTGTGTGTCACTTTGACGTGATCTTTCTAGGACAAATATATTGATACGTTGGTGATGTAAACTCCCTTAAGGAATAGGGCACTGCCATACATTGAGAGAGGGATACTTTCGTGACATTTTTATGCACCACTTGAAGCCAGTAACTCTTTAAAGTATAGCGGAGTTACTCGAATGTCATATATTAGGTACTCGTCTACTAGGATGCATCTATGCTTCTTAGTTGATCAGTTCACAATTTTTACTTTGATCCCCTCTGATGTGACGTCTTTAATTGAACGGGATCTACTAAATAGCATGCTTGATATGCAAGAAAATTGTACCTACCATGTATAAAGCTTTAAGCACTATTCATACGCCATTAGTGGAGACATGGTGGGTTGAGCCCAATTCAGTGTCTTCGGTTTGGTACAGAATTTATGGAGGGAATCTCCAAAACACAAAGATTTTATTTACGACTTTAGAGGCTCTTTAATAAATCGATTTTGAAAATTGTGGCGTCGGGTGCAGGAAGGGCATTCCTCGGTTGCAATGTCTTAAGAGTCGCCATTGATAATTCATGTTTTGAAGCGGAAATTATCGGGTCAATTTTCTAAAATTTTACGTTCTCCAGAATTGTAAAATCATGAAGAATAGAAGTAACAAAGAATTACATTTCGACGGTGTGAGTCGGCAATCTTATATCTCGTTTGCGGTGTCTGAAAATCTCTGCCTCTATGTTTCTGTTTTAAAGGAGAACAAATTGGCACCATTCCTTGAAATTTATGCAGAATTTTCTTCGCACAGAGAAGAGAAATCACTGCAGTTTTTAAGAATTGTCGTTGAGTAGTTTTCCGTTTAAAAAGTAAAGTGTGACAGGAAGTCTGCGACGTCGCAAACCGAGTTATGTGATTGCCGACTTGAATCGTTGATATGCGTTTCACGGCGGCCAGCGATTGCCCTGTGTTTAGCGCAATGCGTGAAGTATTCCCGCACTCTTGTAGGCGCTAACATGCTTCCGCACCGACCGGCGATCGCACTGTTTGGCGCAACGCGTGAAGTATTTCCGCACTCTTGTAGGCGCTAACATGCGCTTTGCACCGGCGGTGACACTATGTTTGGCGAGATTGGAAACGATGATGCAGCATTAGATTTGAAAGAAACTATAGAAACAGAGGAGAGATAGTAAGTTTGAGGGATGACCGGGTAAAATTAATTTTGAGTAATTTTCCGAGTTTTTTTTCATGAGTGGTTTTCCGTTTAAAAAGTAAAATATGACAGGAAGTCTGCGACGTCGCAAACCGAGTTATGTGATTGCCGGCTTACACCGTCGATTTGCCTTAATCTTAATGGATGAAACGTTGGCGGAGATTTTGTGATACCACAACCAAGAAATGCTTTTCCTGCACCCAGCGCTTTGATTCACTTTTGCCGCCTGCGGACTGATTATTGAAATTGATAGACAAAGCGGTAGACACAGAATACATAGGGAGTATGCATCGATCCTATTGGTTGAAATGGGTGGTTCTTATAGAGAAAGGGAGTAAATGATGGACTAACTGTCGGGTCTTTCGTGGGTTGCCGTTAGTTAGTTTATTACCTACCTCATTTGTCCATTGCCACCACCCACTTCCACCAATAGGATCCCTCCAAATCCCTTTTGTCGTCTCTATAGCTCTGTCTATAGCTTTGTCTATCAGTTTCAATAATCGGCCGGCAGGTCCCTAAATTGCCGTTTTCCCCCTCAGAAGGAGCCTTCGAGGCGCCCTCCGGGTGCGTGAGCCCCCCGTGAGGTGGCTGGGATCCCGGGGCAGGGCGAACCCTGCGAGTGCGCGCCCACTGCTCCGGGAGCAGGCGAAATGGCCGGCGGGATGGCGGGGACGCCTCCGTTCACGTGGGACCTGAGCCAGGTGATCAGCTCCGGGCGGGACGGCACCTGCATCATGCGCGGGCTCCGGGGCACTCGCCCGATCGCCGTGAAACGAATGCCCCTAACCAACGTGGAACTCGCCCAACACGAGATACAGATCCTCGAAGAGAACGACGCTCATCCGAACGTTATCCGCTATTACGAACACCACCAGGACACGAACTACATCTACCTGGCTCTCGAGCTGGCCGCTGGGAGTCTCAACGACTACGTCTTATCCCCCAGGTACCCAGCAGGCTCATTATCGAAATTGATAGATAAAATGATAGAATTGAAGATAAACGGAAAATTGAAAGATCCTATTGGTTCCAGTAGCGTGGCGTGAATTGCGATGTATCGATTGTTGTGTCACTTAAACCTATGGAAAAGATCGATAAACAGGGTGTTCGCAGCGAACACCTTAATAATCGATTCTTTACCATAGGTTTAAATGGCATAACAATCGATATATCGCAATTCATGCCACGCCACTGATTGGTTCGTAATACATACTATATATTTTACAGGATTGCCACAGTCACCGGGAAAGCCGGTAAAATGTCAAGGAAAATGACGAAAATGTTAGGGAAAAATCGTTAGTCACCTTTTTGCTTTCTCGAAGTGGTTTGACGTTTCGAACAACAAATTTTGCCTGAATACTATTTCTAACTATGTCTTTCTGACAATCTGGCATTCGTTCAGTTGGTAGGGAATTTAACCAAAATGTGTCAGGGAAATGTCAGGGAATTTAACGGTCTAAATTTTGGTGCGCCCTGAATTTACAATCAGAAAGTTACAGACAAAGTGTCCAAATCAAGCTATCATATGTTTGATGTATTTAGCGTCTCTTGAGAACGATTCGAAATATTTCGTAAAATTTTATGAATTCTCCCGCTTTTTTCTACAATATTGTGATTTTCCGAAATTGCCATGGGAATGAATTTCATAGCATTTCTCATCTTTGTCCAGGTACCGCGAGGCCCTTCCCCCGAACAAAGTATGCCTTCAGATCACGGAAGGCGTCTCATACCTTCACAGCCTCAGAATGGTCCATCGGAACCTCAAACCGAGCAACATATTATTCGTCACAGTCACGGAGGAGTTGATCTTGATCAAAATCACCGATTACGCGATCACGAAAATATTGGAGGACACTGAATCTTTCACCAGTTCCTCCACCGTTGGGTCGCTGTCCTACGCGGCCCCCGAACTCCTCGAGCCGGGCGAACGGCGAACTGCCAAAGCAGATATTTATTCCCTGGGACACGTTTTCTACTTCGTGCTTAACAACGGCGGCCCCGTCGCTCGCGGGCTGGGAAACCTCAACGCCATCCAGAACGGCACACAGCGCATCCTCCTCGCCGCCATGGTCTCCCGGAACCCGGATGCCCGACCCTCCGCCGCGGACATCCTCGTTCACCCGGCGTTCTGGGACCCGGAGAAATGCGTGCAGTTCATCCAGGTCCTCAGCAACAGCGCCCCGAGAGGATTCAATTTCGAGACCTACCGAGCGCAGGCGTTCACCGGCGACTGGACCGCCCTGCTCGACACCGGGCTTGTGGCGCGCATGGCCGGGCATCGCAGGTATAACGGAAACTCTTTTGGAGACCTCATCCGAATGTTGAGGAACCTCTCACACCACCTCTCCGAGTATCCTGACCTTGCCATGATCATTGGCAACAACTACGAGAGCCTCATGGTCTATGTGAATATGCGGCTGCCAAATTTTATTTATTATGCGTGGCTCACTGGCAGGTCTCTCGCGGGTCAGGTCGATCAAATAGCAAGTTTCTACGAATGATCTACATTATGGCATCAACCTAGAGAAAATCCCCCCAACAGGCTGTTTATTGAAACTGATAGACAAGGAGGAAATGGAGCGACCCAGGGGGAAAATGATGGACCAACTACAGCCTGTTTGTTTAATTTTTGTGTTTATCGACCGGTTAAGATAATATTAAGGAGAGTGGAGTTTCGTGATTGATCGCTGCTCCGAGTTGTGCGGTTTGTCGTGCCGATAAAGGGTGCAATCAACGAGAACTAAAGATACCTCTAAAATTGCCGATATCCATCTTTTCAAATCCCATCCTACTCAAATCAATCCTTTATCGGCATGACAAGATGCAAGACTCAGAGCACCGACCAATCACATGACTCCGTTCTCGTTAATCTTGCCTCAGCAGGACGACAAACACAAAATTTCAACCATCAGGCTGCTGAAGGCCCAGGCTCTCGTGGGTCGTCGTTAGTCTACTACTTGCCTCCTTTGTCTATCGCAACCACCCACTTCCACCAATGGGATTGCTCTATTTTCTCTCTGTCTTCTTCGTCTATCGTTTTATCTATCGATTTCGATAATCAGCCCGCTGAGCATCTATGGGAACGTCCTGTTATTATTTTTCCCATCGGATTTCGTTTTAAGATAACCGGATCGTTAACTTATTCTAATTCTTTCTATTCTTACGACAAGCATAATTTCATCGAGACAACAGGAATTCCGGTTCTTACAACAAAAATCTGATAAGAAGAATATAAACAGGACGATCCTTGACAGTTCCATCCGGAATTTCATCTATTCCTCTCTCGGTATAGAGTAGGGAGTTTAATATACAATATAGAAACATACAATCACCGGAGATCCACGATGGTTTAAATGAAATCTAATAATTTCTTCATTTTTTTAGAATTTTTCGGCCTTCAGCGTTTTATTCGGATATGAACTTGGATTTTACCATGATAACACCGTTATCTAATAGTTCTTGCAATCTCCGATTGTTATTTTCAAGTTTCCTCATTTGTAAAATTAATTCCTGTGTTCGTCGTAACTTTGTTCATGTAACTTCAAGAATATAGTAAGCTAAATTTGTGAGTTAGTTGGAACTTAATTCTACTACTGAAAACAGAATAGTCATCTCCAAAAACATTTAAGCAATTTGTTAATCATCATTGTTTATTTACGCAAGACTTGCATTCATTTTGGTTTTTTTCGGAAGGGCAGTAAAGAGTTTACCAAACTAAAAAATCCGATTTTTCACTTATTAAGTGATTCCGAATTTGTGAACCATATTAGATTTTCCTCTGCATGAATTTTTGATGCAGGAACGTACCCTGCGCTGACTAACTATTCCCCTCTCTTTGAATTTCGACTGATCGAGACAATCGATCGTCAAAACAGACTGTTTCCGCAACTGTGTCTTTCCGTACTAGGTGTGTTTGATGGTTCCACCCAGAACAAACTGCCGCTTATAATATACTGACCGATCTGCCGCGCTCTTCAAGAGTGACAAATCTTAACGAAGGTAGATCGAATGAAGTAGCCACGAAATCAGTCGTGACGTGCTTTGCGATACATTGATTGATCGGCCATTTAAACCTGTGGAAAATTATCGATAATCAGGGTGTTCGCAGCGAATACCTTAATAATCGATTATTTACAACAGCTTCAAATGGGGAAATATCGATAGATCGCAAAACGCGCCACTCTACCGTGGCCGGGGCGGGGCCGCGTGAAGTGCGGTAAGCGGTTTGCATGCTACTCGCTTGCAGGCGCTGCATACACCTATGAGCCCCCTCCCCCCCCCCGTCTCCCTATGCCCCCCGTTTGAGCTAAGCGTGACGAAACCTCGTCTCCGGGCGGGTCGATCGGTGAAATGGTGAATAGCGCTTGATTCGACCCTTGAAAGAGCCGGTTCGTTTGACGACCGCCATTTCAATCGCCCGGTGATTTGCTCGCAAGTCATTTGAACTACATTTTGCAATAATGAACTGCCGTCTCTGGATTATCCGTAAAAGCACTTATCCGCATAGGGGAATAAATGGCATATGTGTTGTTTTTGAAATGAGCCGGAAATATTAGTTCGCAATTGCAAAATGTAATCCATTTCTGAAGCTTGCGCCAGCTTGGCTCCGTCTTCATCGAGGCTCGCATCGCGGGTAGAGAACCGTTCGTCAATGTTGCCAGATTGTATGATAACATGTGGATATTACACATGGGTTTGCATGGGAAAATATGCTGATTTTTCAGCACCATCTAGCAACAATGCCGTTATACGCGATTGTATCAAAATGAAGCAAAAACCGTAAAGAGGTTGTTCCATCCCCCATTAGATTTGGCCCCCTATCAGATATGATCCATCTTTTCAGGAGTGATACAGTAGCATGCGAGACGTTCAAATATGGCGGTCATTTTGACTTAGGCCCCCCCAGAGAGGGAGGGCGGGGGGTCAAAGTCAAAACCTTCAACTGCCTATAACTTTTGAGCGAAAAATCGGATTGAGTTGAACTTTTTTTTAAATGAAAGATCTCAAAAAGATCTATCTGCTGATACCAGAAAAATTGAAAAAAAGTTAAATTTAATGCAAATTTTTAGCAATTTTTCAATTTTTTAGGGGACAAAATTTTCAATTTTGTCGTGTTTCGGCACCGCGCAATGACTCTACTAAAACAAAAACCAGTTTTTTAGATTCTACACTTAATTTCCTACAAGATGCAAAAAACCGCATCTTGGGGAAACGTTTAGATCGCGAGCTATGGCTCGTCAAAGTTAGCCCCGCGCTGAGCGCGCGCGCCCTGCGCTGTTCGCATATCCTCTGCGCGTCTGCCACCGATCCTGTTGCCCCTCCTCCCCCTTCCTAAATGCAAATTAACATTCTACTACCCAGCTTTCGTATATATCTGCGTTATAGGTACGTGAAAATTTCAGCAAGTTCGTGATTTCCAGTGGAATTGATGCTTTATTTCGCTCCCCCCCCCCAACCCGGCCACTGTGCTCCAAATATTGTGCAAAAAAGAAATATATAAATTTTCTTGTTTCATGTTTTTGCTGATGTAGCACCCTGTGACTACGAGATCGAATTGAGGTAATTTTTTATCCCACCTCCCAACCACTTTTCGGTGTATTGAGCGTTTACCATTCATGAGAGGCCGACATTATTATGGGTATTCATAATAGGCTGCTGAGGAATTAAAAAATATTTCGCACGATTTTTCTCCACATAGCTTTGAGAAATATAAAATGATTTCGTTGTTGGCAGGGGCACACTTCAGTGCCAGTGGCCGGGTTGGGGGGGGGGGGGGAAATAAAGCATCAATTCCACTGGAAATCACGAACTTGCTGAAATTTTCACGTACCTATAACGCAGATATATACGAAAGCTGGGTAGTAGAATGTTAATTTGCATTTAGGAAGGGGGAGGAGGGGCAACAGGATCGGTGGCAGACGCGCAGAGGATATGCGAACAGCGCAGGGCGCGCGCGCTCAGCGCGGGGCTAACTTTGACGAGCCATAGCTCGCGATCTAAACGTTTCCCCAAGATGCGGTTTTTTGCATCTTGTAGGAAATTAAGTGTAGAATCTAAAAAACTGGTTTTTGTTTTAGTAGAGTCATTGCGCGGTGCCGAAACACGACAAAATTGAAAATGTTGTCCCCTAAAAAATTGAAAAATTGCTAAAAATTTGCATTAAATTTAACTTTTTTTCAATTTTTCTGGTATCAGCAGATAGATTTTTTTGAGATCTTTCATTTAAAAAAAAGTTCAACTCAATCCGATTTTTCGCTCAAAAGTTATAGGCAGTTGAAGGTTTTGACTTTGACCCCCCGCCCTCCCTCTCTGGGGGGGCCTAAGTCAAAATGACCGCCATATTTGAACGTCTCGCATGCTACTGTATCACTCCTGAAAAGATGGATCATATCTGATAGGGGGCCAAATCTAATGGGGGATGGAACAACCTCTTTGCATTAGCTAATGTCACACGATCAAACCGTTCCACTAATAGGTCAAATTCAAGTGCTATGATTGGTCCAAGTCATCGAATGAGCCAATCACATCACCTAATGATGAAGATTTGATGGCTCGGTTTGATCTTTGGAACTACTTGGTTGTATCCGGCCCGTTTATCCGGACCTAGGTGATTCGTCAAGCTCAAATGACGTGGTCGAACTGGCACGCGATAAATCGCATCTTTAAGGTAGAAAATCTCGGAAGATTTTGAATTTTTAGCAAAACAAAGGACGATAGCCCCTGCGCATGAGCCCAAAGAATCATTCTAAACCCAAAAACTGGCAAAATTCAGAAAAATGAAAGCTGCATAGTGTTTGGAAAAAAATCTCGCATTCGATTCAGCAATTGATTGCGAAAATTGATTATCAGCAATTGATTATCGAATGCGAGGCTTTTTCCAAACACTATTCTCCTTTCATTTCTCTGAATTTTGCCGTTTTTTGGGTTTAGAATGATTCTTTAGGCTCATACGCAGGGGCCACCGTCCTTGTTTTTGCTAAAAAAATCAAAATCTGCCGAGAGTTTTGACCTAATCGATGCGATATATCGCATGTTAGTTTGACCACGTCATTTGAACTTGACGATTCACTTTAATGCAAAAAATCCAAATTGGATGGAACTGAACAATAGGGATGTATGGACTACATTTTGGATTAGGGCATTATATTTCTGGCTCTGTATATCCTGAAGACAATATTTCTGGCTCATTTTAAAAGCAACGTACAAGTTATGCCATTAGATTCTCTACGCATATAGATGCGTTTGTGGGTGAGCCAAAAACAGTAGTTCCTTATCGCAAAATGTAGCTAATATCTACGTTGGGATTTTTGAAGAAGAGCCCTTCTGTTATCTAAAAGAGTTTCGTTTTGATTTTGCCACATAGAGGTTGGATTTAGGCTGTATCCAATCCTTTCAGCAAATAATAGAGATGAGCGTCGAGTGTTTGCGGAGGTGACAGGGTTGCACGGGTGAAGTGGAAAATATGAAATATTGAAAATTTCCGTGATATATTTCATGAAATTTCACTAAGTTGTGAAAAATATGAAATATATTTTCAGGAATTGGGTATATGCAACACGCACTGAAAAACACCAAAAAGCAAAAACCAGTCGCCTTTCATATTTAATTTCGACAAATATCTTTCAATATTTTTCATATTTTTTTTGAAATTTTATGAAATATTCAACATGAAATTTTAAGATTTTATTTAACATGACATTTTAAGAGTTTATTTAACATGAAATTTTAAGATTTTAGTGTTCATGAACAATTGCAACCCTGCACCCTTGAGCAAACAGGGCGTTTTCAGATGACGTTTGCATGTCGGGATGTTTGCTTTTATATGCAGATAAGCCGGCATTGGTAAATGTCGTAAAAGCTATAATCCCATTTAGGAAACTGAGCATATCTTCAAGAGGATTAAAAACCTGTGAAAAGCTAATGATTATATTGCCACTCCTAAAGACGGATATACGCTAAAAAAGGAATATGCTACACGCGAACCCTATACACAGAGATGTGTGATCCAGGCTGGAGCAAGACGGTGGTGTGAAGTTAATTGTCCTCGCTTTTTTGCGAGGAACGGGAGCGGGAGTGTGGGTTCGGTTAGTGACTTCATCGGCACAGGGCGCAGAGCGTAGGGGCGAGTCAATTTGTTAGCCTGCCGCCACTACGTAAGCGGCGCTCGCCGTTCGCGGTATGATTGTGAAAATGTAATTTATGCTCTTGGTGTTTATTCATTACTTCTGCCCGCGGGGAAGCTGAGAGAGACGCAAGATGCCTGCTAACTTTTTCATTTCCTCCCTTTATCTCTTAATCCTCTCCCTTCACGCCACGTCCTTTTTCTTCCCAGTGGATTTGTTCCGCGGACTACATTAGGAGCCCGGGAAAGTGGAGGAATTTGTTTTTCCTCTTTTTCACGAGACCCGGAACACGAGCCACTCGAGTTTTATTCGCCATGTTCCGTTTAATCTCATTCGAATGTGAACGATGAGCTCGCAAAAAAAAGCACCGCAGTGGATCGCCGCGGCGCCTTGCTGAAAACGAATATCCACAATGAAACTCTCAAAGCACGTATGTTGTATAACCACGATGTTGGAATTTGCCGCACCCAATTCATTTGTTTAAAGGGGGAAAAATCAATATTATTCCTCGAAGTTTTCATTGAATTTTTTACGCGCAGCACAAGAAAAATGTCGGAAGTTTTGAAGAATTGACGTCGAGTAATTTTCCATTTAAAAAA